AAAGAAGACTTAGGAAAGATCTAGAACATTAGTTGTCAGTTCTAGAGTGTACACAAGACAGTCTAGAACTTTGGTTGTAAGTTCTAGGGGTAGTACAGAAGTACAGCCTTTTATATTACAGAAGTCATAAGGAGTTATTAAAAGTCATAATACTTTACCTTATAAGAAAGAATATTACAAACTAGTGTATAGGAAGTACAGGTCAAGTCAGACAGAGTTATAAGAACAATAGAAAGCTCTACTTTATAGGAAAAGCATTACACAGCTTACACAGTATAACTAGTTAGGAGGACTCATAAGGAGTCATTAGAAGTATGAGAGGAAGTATAGAAGACATAACAATATAGTAAAGGAGTTATTAGAAGACTAATCTAAAATACAAGAAGACACAAACTAGTGTTAGCAGATTAATAGAAGACACAAACTAGTATAGTATACAGTCTAAAGGATTAGCCAGCTCTACTTTATGAGAATAACAGTAAAGAGAGTTACTAAAGTTACTAGAGTAACATTACTCTAGTAAAAGGTATATAAGGAGGCTAGTTTAGCCCTCAAAAGATAGTTTTATCAACTTAAGTTACCTAGTACTTAGGAGTACTCTACTACTAACTTACTAGGCTATACTTGTAGCTTGACTAAAGTAGAACTCCTCTACCCTCTTACTCTACAAGTTTACAAGTCTTACCCTTTATACTCTATTCTGTTACTATTCCTAAGGATTAGAGCTAGTAAAGTGAGTATATCTAACACAAACTACCTTAGAGATGATTGATTCACTTAGTGTTTAATAAGATTCTGCTCAAACTATATGTTTCTCAAGTCTTTAATATTTAGAAGGCTCCTCCTCCTCCTTCCTCAGAACTTATAGATAATAAGATTGAATACAAAGTCAAGACTATCCTTGACTCTTGACTCTATAAGGGAAAGCTTTAGTTCCTTGTCAAATGGGTAGGATACTAGGAAACAACTTGGCAGCCTGAAAATAACCTTACTCATGCTCAGAATACTGTTAGGGATTTTTACAAAGTTTATCCTAGTACTCTAAAATGACTAAACATTCTAAAAGGAACCTTTAGAGACTTTAACACTTTGCTTAGACAAAATAGCCCCTAGATTCAGTTGTCTGAGACATACAACCTAAGGAGGGAGGTGATGTTAGGATTGTAGGATTAGACCTATTTCATTTTCTTTATATCTCTGTCAGTTTTGTAAAAAAAACCAATATTATTACTAGATTTTCATAATTCTTAACATCTTATCTATTGTTCTACAAAGTTTCATAAAGATTGTTTTAGTATTGAGTGTAGGAGAGAGCTACAGAGACACAAGGTAGTATATACAATTATAACACAGTTAATCTATTTCTTACCCAATATAGTAACTCATACCTCTTTTATATAATAGTCTCTTAGCCTATATTCTCTAATGTGTAATGCTCTGTTAATTCTTCCTGGCCTCTGATGTGCCTGTTAGCTTCACAATATTTGTTCTTATTATTTCTTTAATCTTATTCTCAAGTTTCATTCCTTACTTTACTCTTGTTATTTAGTTATTATAAAAAGTAACTTGTAGATACAGTAGTTCCTTAGTTTTTTGACTCTTCTTGTATTCCTACTTGTTCTCCTAGTATAAAACCTAGCTGGTAGCTTTAGGAATATAGTTGGATTAAGGGCTACAGGTCTACATTTACAGTTTGAGAGTACTATCAACCTAGAGAACACACCTCCCCTAACAGTCTACAGAGACAAAAATAAACATTAGTGTCTTTACAGACTAACTTAATTACATTAACACTGTGTATAGAAAGGTAGGGAAGACTCATACTCAACACATTATAAAGTGTGAAGGTACAAGGGGCTAAGGATTGTAACAGAAGGAGGAATATATAAGTATAGAAATAGTTTATATAAAGAATAACTGAACAAAATGTTTTTACTTATAAATTCCTACTATATATATATATAGATTGTCTTCACTTATACCATTAATAGGAATATTACCTCTATGATTCAAGAAAGCATCTTTATCCATTTCATTCTCTCTAGTATTATTAACATCCTCCTCCCTATTAAACTCTTTAATTGTTGTAAGATTATCTCTAATACTTTATAAAATATTATGTAAAATTATACATACTTCAACTGTTCTCTACATAGCCTCCAAGTCATAACCAGAAAGGTTTCTGAGGCAGGGAAAGCAGTCTTTGAGTCTTTCAAAAGTATGTTTAATACATACTCAAACTTTTGAGAGGTTGAAGTTCTAGTCTCTTCTCTAGTATACTTTAAGTCAATTTGTAGTAATATTATACTCAGTAAAGAGCCTAATAGTAAACATTGTAATAGGATACCCTAGAAAAAGAAATAAGAAGAATACTGGAAGTATATTACTACTTTAATCATATCTTTGTCTATTAAAATATACTTATTATTCTGAAAGAATTGTCTTCTTTACTTATATAAAGCTGATTGCTTAAAAACCTTTGTATCCTGTACACTTCCAGACCATCCTATGTTATAATGGGTGAAAAACCCTTTATAATTACACACAGTCTAGACTGTAAACTTAAATATAAGAATATCTGTTAATATTATTTGAGTTTCTAATAAATAATTTACTTACAGTATAGAATTTCTTTCTACAATAAAAGTACTACCTATTCTTCCTAAGCTTTTCAGCTAAAGAAATAAGAGTTCTATCTATGACTCCTATACATTCTAGGAAGCCTAACTCCTCAAACTCTTCCTTTAGGAAAGCTCTCCTTTATAGTCTAGATTATACAAGATAATGTCTTTGAATTTTTCAAATAGTATAACATACTCAAGTACAGTGGTTGTGTATAGTTCCTTCAGTAACAGAAGTACTAGCAGTAGTATAGATTGAAGACTGCCCTTCTACTCTTAAAAGGAATGTAGAAAGCTGAACAACTACAGACCTTTAAGGCTTCCTGCCTAAAGAAACAAATACAGGATCATTTTGAATTAAGTCATAGACATGCTAAAAGCTGTCTCTACTCATTCTGTAATTTGTACAATTATTGTAGATTGAATAAGTATATTTTGCAAATTTATACTCCTCTTAGATAAGATTTAAACTACTTAGATAGAAAAGTATGAAGGAGTTTGTGTAGAAAATCATCAGATTTGTCTACAATATAAGACCCTCTTGGACCAGTTACTACCCTAAGTCTTCTTACAAGCATAAGATATATTAGATCCTGAAGCTTTTCTTCATTACTGTCTAATCTTACTAATAGAAAAACAGCCAATTTTTTCAAGGAAATTTGAAGGGAGACTTTGTTGCACTGTCTAGCCATAGTAGTTTAGACAAGAGTATAATGTCTCACAAAATGGGCAGAAATATGTATTTTTATAGCAGAACAATGTCTTACAAGATACATTCTCTAGTACTGTCTATAACACCATTTTGAATAACAGAAGCAGTGGACACCACTTGCCTCTCCTGAGCCAAGTCTGTCCACACCATCTACTTCACCCTCAAGTGTAGCTTTGCCTGGTGCCAAAAATTCACTCAAAAATGTAGTATTATTATTTTATGACAGTGCTACACTAAACAAGAAGGCTGCCAGGCCAGCCAACAGTCTTGGTTCATTCTCTGATACAATAAATACAATAAATACACCTTACAAGGTGTATTTGCTGTTTTTAAGGTACACACAGAGACACTACTTAAAATGGTTAGGGTACCATTCTACTAGGAGTCCCCTCTTTTTTATACTGAGGTAAATATTCATTAAATACAAAAATTGAGATGGGCTATTATGTGTAAGAGAAGATATATTCCTATAGAAGTAATGGATATTTTCCCTAGACTGCAAACCCATCAAAAACAATTAAAATAAATTGATGACACATCAATGAAAACTTAACCAGCTATAGCCATCTGTACAGCCCTCTAATAGGGTCCATAGCTATCTAAAGCTCTATAGTAGTGTAAAAAAATCCCCCCTCTGTCATTTTGTATATCTTTTTGTATAGTACTATAGTACTGTATATCTTCATAGACATTTATAGTTGTATAGTTTAATAGTGCTTTTGATTCATAGATAAGTATTTACATAGTGTAATATTAATATATTCTGATATAACAGTATTAGTAAAGTTTTGTATAATAATGTATATAGCTTAATAGTATGATAGTATCATTGTACAGAGTATTTTTCTATATATTTACTTGTGAAATTATACCTTTGCTTTCAACAAATGATTTGTTTGATATTAAAACAATATTATATTGTAATAGTATGTATGTACATTAACTAACTACAAGGCAAGAAAACATAGGACAAAGTCCTTGTACCGAAGATATCCAGCTCTGACCCCCTACTGCCTACTAAGTGTTGAGGGCCCATGCTACCTGCAGCACCCGCGCTGCCATCGCTTGGTTCCTCCTACTTTACCCGTTGCCCAGGTCCGTCGTCCTCGTCAACACTACTACCTAGATATGAGTCAGAGCGTGTCTGCTTTCCAAGAGTATGTTTGAAGACGAGGATGCGCCCCCCCCCCCCCCCCCCCCCCCCCCCCCCCCCCCCCC